GACAAGTACACTGACTTCTGATCACCATAGCTTTTATGAGTTAGACTTCTACTGAAATGGAGAACTGTAACGGACATTCTGTCCAGCTTTGTAAGTTAAGAAACAGTAAATCATAATATTTTCAAGCTTAGTGACATCCTGGAAAATATATTTAAATACAATCAGCGAAGAATCATATATAAAACAATTCATAGATTTTAATACTCTATGATACACCAGTAATCCAGGCTAGATTAAGAACATAGTGTTTTACACAGCCTAAGTTTCTTCAAAAATGTTAAAAACAATTCAGTTAGGATTGCTATATTGTACTGTAGAAGTGCAGGGGGTTTGGGGATGTTTTGTGTTTGGGTTTTTTTAAACACATTTTTATTTCAGAGTGGGTTTCATTTAATTTTTCACATTACTGGCCTCAGAATCTTAACTAAAAAATAAGGGATTATGAAGCAAACCAAGTAACAGCAATAACGTTACTTCAAAACCATTCTGCCAAATGGTTTTGAAGAGCACAAGTATTATACTTGGCCTTATACCTACTTACTATAAAAGATCAGTTAAATCGATACAAAAATATTATTTCTCAGTTAAACTACAAAATTTATTTTTTAAACTCAAATATACACTGCCATAAGAGAAGTACACGTTAAATATTAGGGTTGACTTGGTGAACATGCCTGTGATTTTTTTATCTATACGAAAAAAAATAGAGCTACTCAGGTCATCATTTTATTATGTTACATAACCTGAAATCATTACACTGACTTACACATTTAAACCAGTTCATACATTTAAATAGGTTACCATACAGTCAACACTGCCGTTATTTTTTATTTAAAAGCAGTGTGTTTCATAAACATGCAACTTGTTTTAAAGTTCAAATAGTCAGAATATAGAATAAACAGACATTTGAAGAAATTACTGTATCCTATATTTTTATAACCTGAAGAATTTTTCAAGCATCAGTAACTGGGTCCTTATACTGAATTCTGGAAGTATTTCAGAAGACAAAAGATAAAAATATTAAAAAAAAATAAAACTTGTTCTATTATATAAACATTCTCCAATAAGGGTATCAAAAAAAGTATTCGGACTGAGCTAACAAGATTTTTTACATTCCGAAAGCAGAACTTTTTCTTCTTTTATGATTGCATGGAAAGACAAAGTTGTCAGGAATCGAAGATTCTACACCATATAAAAGTCGGGACAAAAAAGCCAACTACAATGAAAACTGATATGCACTTTTAAATAATGTCTTCATACAAGAACCTGATATCTTTCTCTGAAGGTAGAAAAAAAAAAATAATTTCATGTTTCAAGCCTCCATAGAATTCAGTATTTCATATGTTCAGCAGTCTCTTTATAGGTTTATATACCCTATCTTCATTTTCTTCACCTATCTTCAGACCATTAGAAACAGTACAAGTGGAAGTATCATGCTTATAGTAATTTTAGCTATGAGGTTTTTAACTGTGTCCCACTATGAGCAGACCACATACAGAAGTGTTTGTCCACTTAAGCTTTGAGAAACCAGATTGTAAAACAGAACACTCTACTCCTTTCAGTACACTTACCGATACTAATACAAACTGGTTTACACATTACTTTCCCATCAAGAGAATGTTGAAATACATCAATGCCTGTGCCTTTTAAGAGTTCTACATCACAGGAATTAACCAAAGAGGCAAATACAGCTGAGCCACTGAACAACAGTGTTCACAACGTAACCAACAAACCGGCTTCCGGAGAATTTAGTACAGCTAGTTGCTAGAAATCTGTAAAGATGAATAAGCTAGTAAGGAGATCTAACATTAAAACGATGAGGAAATGAAAATTAAGAGCCTCAGCATGCAAACTTGTTAAGAATCAGAAAGCATCTACATGCTTTAAGAACATATGAAAGCAGAAAGATAAATTTATAGTCTTATTTTATTTTTTATCACTGAGATCGTATCAGTAGATCAGTATGTTTCCATCTTTCAGTACACTTCAATTAGCAGGAAATAGCAATCAAGAACAAATTCTGAACTTCTTTGACACCTTCCAGACTCTTTTGCCCTAATGAAAGAACATTACCTCTCTACATACATAGAAGACTTAGAAAAGATGAGAAACAAAAGTATACAAATTCCAGAACAAAACTAGGGGACATGCCTGATTAAGGAGTTGAAGAGGATGTCTCAGGAGAGTGAGAAACAGAGGCTTGGGAACGTCTCCACACGTTGTTTTTTGTTTCTTGGTTTTTTTGTGGGTTTTTGGTTGGGTTTTTTTTTAATGAAAGACTACAGCTCTTCACTAAATTCAGAACTACCTATATTGTTCACCCTCAAAAGCCCATGCCAAATCTCATGTGAAGTTAGATTAAAGCAAAACAAAACTCTAGGAACAAAAAAATCCAGCTTCTTAATGCACATCCAATAGGATTTATTTCATTTCAGTCAAAATCCTGAAGTACTTAAATGAAGCCTTAGAAAGAAAAAATCTTTGGGCATGGAAATTTTACTAGGATATCGAAATTGCCAAATTAGAACTCAGAATCTGATGACTTGGACATTAGCTCTCAACTTACTATGCATTCATCATTTGGAAAAGAAAATAATTAAAATGCATATTTTAAGTTTTGTAACATACTGCATTGAAGAAGGTAGTCCAGAATTCCAAGTTACCCAGGAGATTTTAATGTGTGGTATGTGAGCTTGTGGGGTTTTTTTAACTCACTTCACTGCTTAGAACCTCAAAAAAACCCCACCAGACCATCTGTGACATTTCTTTTGTGCTTCTGTCCGCCCTCTGCTGTCTGAAATGCAGAAAGTAGTCATCTATGCTAGAGCGCTCTACAACTCGGTGTTACGTACAATATTTGATCATTGTAGTTTCACAATTAGCTAGAAATCAAGTGAAGAAAAAAGGAAACGGAATAAGAGAGACAGACTCAGTGGTCCTACATTAAAAGAAAATCACAGAACACCTAGAAGATGCAATTTTTAAACTTAATCAAAGATTTCCATACATCCATGTGATGCTAAGCACAGCAGGAATGAAACTATGAAAACTATAGGGGAATAGGGCAAGTGAATCTGTGTAATGCTGATCTACATTCCTTATTACCCTCTAAAACTTACAGTCACTTGGATTAATAATGAACTTTCATTTTCTCATTAGTTCACAGGAGAAAGAAGCAATAGGAATGAAGCTAAGAGTCTCAGTCCCAATTCATCCACTGCTGTAACTGCACTGGAACTCTTTTTTTTTTTTTTGGTTATGAGTTGAAGCAGAAGGCATTTAACTACAATATAACTCCTCCATTTCTTCTTGGCATTCACTCAACATGAGGAAGCTGACAGCAAAGAACTCTTATCCAGGAGAGATCAAGAAGGGACTCATACTACTCCTCATTCACACTTTCTTTCTAAACTGTGTTTCCCCTTTAATTTGTCATTAATCAGGAAAAGTTACCTTATGTAACCAGACACTTCCCACGTGAGAGTGAATCAGCACCCCAACTATACAGAGTAGCAGCTATGGGGAAACAGCTAGGGAAATACCTTCTTGTCTTCAGTATACGGTCCACATTGCTGGATTGCCATAGCTAATAATAGTTGAAATGTCTACTAGAGAAAAGAAAGAATGAAGGAAGATACTGAGAAAACACCTGTCACTCTGCCTCCCACGCAATTAGTTAGTAATTTTGGTAGATTTCACAATAATTTCTCCAAATATTAAGCTTCTTAGTAAAGGCATAGTTTGCAGATCACTGCCATCAGTATAATGCTGAAGTACAAGGTAACAAACCTTTGGTATCTTCACCGTCTAGTGCCAGCAAAAACGGCACAGACATTCATTTTAAATACATACATCAATGCAAAATCTATTCCACGGCATTGCTGTATGCAACCCAATGAAATGAGAAGTGTCCTTGTACTTGATAGGTGCTCTTAGATTTTGCAACATTATCCCTGAAATTCTCCAGAGGGGTCATATTCAATAACATATATACAGAAGGTCGCATTCTGTCACATGCAACACACAGTACTCATAGAACGAAGACAAGTTCTTCTTGTTCTTACACTGGATTCTCTCACATGAAAAGCAAACCAGAGGCGACTGAGACACATGTCTGCAATTGCTCATAGAGGAAACTGTCCTCATCTGTGATTGCTTGAGCAATTGTTCAGTCACTTACCTGGCTGTTCATACAGTTAACTCTGAGCTATCTCTACCTGGGCCATTGCTCCGAAACTTCCAATTTCTCAAGAACATGCAAAAAGCAGAAAGCAGAAGATTGACCATTCTTAAATTTGTTTAGCACAAGAGAGGCCGGATGCCATGTGGAAATCTTCAACCCACAGAAGTTCTTAATGGAACTAATACATTGGTAGATAATAAAACTGATTTTACTTGCATCATTTCTTGCAGCAAATGTAAATAGAAAATTACGGACTGTATTCCAACATGTCTGTGGGAGGTCATCAAAAACTACTCTGATAGAGCCTCTTTGCCCTTTCTATGTGAAATGCATTGTTCCCAACTTCCACTAACAGTCTTCATTATGACAAACTTCACAAAACCCTCAACGGGACAGAGTAAAGCTCACACATACAAACTTTTAGGATGTGGAGAGCATCAGTGACATTCTTGCAGTTACCAACAGATGCTTTGTTATTAAAACTTGCATATACAAATGTCCACAAAATGTCTTAACAAGATCAGTTGTGACAGCTAAAGATAACAGCTGCCATCATGCTATGTCATATCAAATTACTGCAGAGAGACATTTTTTTTTCCACATTGTTAACTCAAGAACATTGACTACAAACAAATACAGTTATCTACAGAGGAACTCAAAGTGCAAGATATTTTGCATCACTTCTGCAGAAGAGCAGTGACTTTGAGGACCAGATAGGAAAATAATTTTGAACAGCTGGCAATTATAATTTGAGTGTAACACAGCAAAGTCAAACACTGTTTCCTAGAGTCAGCCAAAAGCCAAACCACAGACCTACCTTAAGATACAGAAGCAGCTCTTGGCCCCAGAAGATAAGCGACAGAATCCAAACCTCTGTTTGCTGTCAATGTCTGTAAGCACAAATGTAAAGTTCTGCCCAACTTGGTTAACTGCATGGCTGAAAATGAAGAGAGTAAGAGGAAAAAATTAATGCTGAGCTAACTTTGTGTCAAAAGTATCTACTCAAGTCATTGAACCTATAACATTTCCTCTTTCAGCAGAGTTTTTTTTAGAAATTAACTTTGAGAGTATACACCCTCTAGAAACTTAAATACGCTAGTTGCTTGGTGAGGGACAAGTGGGTTTGGGGGATTTTCTTCCCATTTTTTAAGAGTGGGAGGATACTAAAAATGCATTTATCTTTAAATGAAAATGGTTATGACTATCAACTGTCTTCAATGCAGTACACACTGTACAAACCAAACCCATGTTCTCTCATATAACCCAAAATATTTCATTACTCTTTGTTTGAGAATTGGTTTACTCCAAGAGCAAGGCAATGTTTAATAACATGCTAAGCTTCTTCAACACTTGGATATTGACTTGTAGAAGCTTTACTATCCATCTACCAATTTTGTATGTATGCCAGATACACCATTCCAAAATGTTCAGCAACTGGAACCATGCCAGGTGACTCTCCTTTACTTTAGGAGGTAGGCAATCAGTTAAAAGAAAGACTAGAATAGTGTACAAAGGACAAAAAGAGAAATTAGAATCAAAAGTACACTGTGCTAAAGCCAGCCATGACTATAAAAATAATTTTGTAGGACTTCTATATGATTTTTCAAAATTAAGAGTCATTTGCCTCATCTGCAAGAACTTAACGGCTCTTCAAGAATAGCTCAAGTGAACTAATAACATTCTTAGATGTTGGCTCCTACTCACAACACAGTGGAAAGTATCACTATAGGAAAATTTGCCCAAATTGGAAAAATACAGTTTTGGAAAACAAAACAAAACAAAACCCACAACCAACAACCACCACCACCAAAACAAAAACACAAAAACAAAACCACAAACAACACAAAAAACAAGAACTAAACCAAACCAACAAACAAAAAAACCACCCAAACCCCAGCATTTAAAAATTCATGTCTTTAGAAATACTATAATTCACATCTGTACTTTACCACTACTAGATGATGCTCAAAATAATAAAATAAGATCAAAATAAGATGCTTTACATTTAAAGCATGGCACTTTCTGAATGCTAGTTATTAACAAAATGAAAGACATTCTTGAGATATTCCCACATTTGTCTAAAGTTAATCAAACGCTTATGTACTGTGACAGCAGATCCCATATGAACCAAGCCCAACTCACCTCCCAGTTTGTAGAGATGTAGTTTTACTCTTAACAGAAATTTTGACATTTAGTGGTGAAGCTGGGACTAATGTAATTATTAGAGGATTTTTCATCCAATTTCAATCTATTCGAGACCTCATAATGATATGAAATTAACACTTATTTCAGGTTATGTTCTAGTTTATTTTAGGTTTACTGAGAACACAGACGAGCATTTACATGTGTATCTTTACAAGTCAGTCCTACCAAGAGCAACAAAAAAACCCCATTAAATTCAAGGCCATTTAACTAACAGTCACAAGCCTTAAAAGCGAGCAAATATTCTCTTCTATGATGCCATATATAACACAATAAACAATTTATGTGGGAGATTATACAGTCAGTGCCTAGAGAAAAAGAGAAAAAAAGACTTGCAGAAATAAAAGTTGGATCCAGATCGGAAAGATGTCACTGTCCAGCTTAGAAAGAAGAATCCTCCAGTGGATCCAAACAGGGAAGGAAAAACATGCAGTGATGACGACAAAAAAGTGCTCCAAATTCACAGGTGAACAAAAAGACAGATATTTTAAAACATTTCAGTAGTCTGAGAATTAGACAGTGTAAGTACTATCATCCTACCGAAATCTAAATGTCAACAGAGCAACCATTTCCATAAACCACACTGAGCTGCTAGGGGATACCAAAAAATCCCTTATGGGTGTTGTGTTTTATCTGTAAAGCTTGGATGTAATGTTACTATGGTGATTTTAGTATGGTGTTTTAAAAGGGGATTATATGCTTAATTTTAACAAGGTTGAGAGCAGAGCGTGTGTGAGAAATAGCATTCTAGCTGACAATTAGAATTACAGAACGGGGAAAAAAAACATGCTTCATTTGCAGCAGGGAGAAGCTTGTTTATTAAGCAATTGTGACACATTGGTAAGTTCCTCCAAAGTAAACCTAAAGATTCTTGCATTTATGTCATGTGCAGAAACTAAGTATGTCTTAGAGGTCTTGCTCAAGTTTCAGTTACCAGTTCTTCACATGGAAGGATGAACTTCCCAATGCAAAAAAGTGCTTTTCCTAGGATCTTAATATCAAGACTTAAGATTCATAGCTCTATTTTCAAATGGGAAGAAGGTCTATTTAGAGCCTAGCAGGATGGAAGCACCATAAATCTCACCTCTAAATGGGCAGACAGAAGTTAGGATTGGAGGGAAGGGGAGAGAGGAAGAGTGATTTCTTAAAAATCCTCCATCACTAGCTATATCTGACTAACACAAATTAATCCTAATATGAAATTTGACTGAGGTGGAGTTCTTCACTCCTGCAGCTGGAGAATAGCCTCTGCCTTGATCCTGCAAGTGTAAGATTAGAAAACTCACAGTACACTCCCTAAAGGAAAGGGCAACTAGTCCTTGGTCATTTTTGACCACTGGCAACAATATATATAAAAAGAATCAATATTAAAAGACTTAAGAGTCTGTGTCAATGAGTGCCAAAACCTTCAGCACAGAGAACAATCAGATATGCAGAAGATCTTGATTCGCCTCAAAATCTCATTTGAAGTAGCAATCTGGCAGAGGCAATAGTACATCTTCAGTTTTTGCCACCTGCTTTATAAAACATGCAGCCTTAGAAGAGACACACATGTAGGTGAAGACTTACGTCCTTTCTCAGCACTTGTTAAACAGTGGTATACATCTACAACATCAAAGTCAGAGGAGCAAGACTCAACTCAAGTACCATTGAGAACACTTCTACCATCAAGAAGTTTCCACTGAAAGCCTGGCACAATACTGCACGTAACACAGAACGTAGTTACGTTAAGTTAAATTTCCCCAAGTCAAACTCCTCACAAACAGGGTATAAATTGGGGACATGACTCTAGCAGGACTTGAAAACCTAAGTTCTATGACTGGTAATGCTACTTTGGGCTCCGAGCTGGTGAAAGGAAAAGCAGCATCTATTCTTTAGTGACTACACATTTCTGATCATTTGTATCAGTATCTCTTCATCTTAAGTCATACTGATAATTTTTCCACAGATCCTAAAGAGACATCCTACCCAGAATATTATTCCAGCAGAAGGTATTAACGCATGTTCCTAAGTTATCTGAACAATGAGCCAGTATCTCCATTGTTATATTAAGAAGAATAATTTTAAAACCTCCCAATACTGCAGAGAGATTCTAATACTAAAATACTAACAACAAGGCAACCTAGTTAACTGGGAATAGTACCTAAGTATTTGGAAGGCCTTTACTGAAACCACTTGTTTCTCGCTCTTTTTGTCCAGAATGAACAAAACAATATATATTTAAAAAAAACACCCTGAGGACTAAGAATTACAGTAACTGGAGATCTGATTCAACATACCACTTTTCAGGCACATAGGGATAAAATCCCACTAAAGAGTGCTAGTCAACTCTGTAAGACACAACTGTAAGGACCTTTCTGACACGTAACTGAAGACAGTATTTCTTCTAGAAGCAATTTCTTTTCATCTCAAAGTAGAAAAAGTGTTTACTGAGAAGACTGAGGGGAATATTAAAGCATTGTCTGAACTAATTTCATTATTGGGCTACCTGCTCACTACTTTAAATAACTTTATTTTAAATGCAGTATAAGAAACGTATAAATAAATATTCAGTAGTTGGTTAACAGTAAATAGGGAAAGAATAGACCAACTAGTGAAAATTTATCACTTGTTGAGTTCCAGAAATAGCCTCTAAGAACAGGTATTAGATCAGTTCTAAACCTGGAAGTAGCTAAAGGATGAAGAACATTTTGCACTTAAGATGCACTTTATTTTTCTCGTTATCATGGTCACGTTAAATTCATTTGCATTCAGTGACATAAGACTGTTTACCTTCTTACTGTAACTGGCAGGTTAATTCCCACACACAGTTCAAAGCTAAGTCAAATTTAGATCATGGAGGACTACAACAAGTATTTATCTATATATAAACTTACGCACACATCTGTGCGCACCTGTGTGTGTACTTTTACATCAGGAAGAGAAGTAGCACACACATCTCTTTCAGCTGCCATATCCTTAACTTGGATGTCCTCTACCTTCTGGACTATTGAAAGTCCATTCTTCATTTTAGATTATTAAGTATGCTATGGGTTACAATCTCTCCTTTATGTTCAAAATGGTTGGCTTACAGTCTTTTCAGTGACTGTGATACTCAGTCAAACAAGGGAATCCAGAAATGCACCCCATATGGGGTTTCAGTGTTCTTATCTTTCAAAATGGTATATTGCTGGGGAAAAACAAAATACAGCAAAACAAACAAAACCCCTAGGTACAATAACTTTACGCAGAGTAAGCATAAATATTTCTAGCAGAAACACATACATGAGAAAAATATAAGTACTTCCCTACTCTCTCCCATTAGGAAAGGAAAAAGATAATCAGCAAAAAGTGATTCCAAATTATAAGACAAATTTGTGGCTTTTGAAGGTCATCCGAGTCAACAAGCACTGGTTAAGTAGCTCATGTTGACAGCCCAGGATATTCAAATTCTCTTTTTATGTACAAATCAGGTACAGCAGAGGCACTGGTAATAATAGTTGTCTCCAGCAGTGCCTCACCAATGTCTCTCAACCCTGATCTGCAGGAACCACCTGGAGGGTTGAAAGAACATATCGTCTGCATGATCCATTCAAGCTTTCAGCTTCCTCCAAAAGCCCAGATTACTATGTTGGAGGACAAAGTGTAGCAGTGGTTTTATTATGTAGACTCCTATCTCCAGAGAAGCATAGTGAGATTTCATCTCCATTCATAGAAACTAGTGAACAGTATTTCAAGATAACTAAGAAATACAAGCTGGCCTATGGATGGGGGAAAAAAATGAAAGGAAAAAAAAAATTGAACAATGGCTCAAACCATTGATATTAAAAATGGATGCTGATTTATAAAGAAAATCAATTTCTACTGTAAATATCACAGATTTCACTAAAATGAGAAAAAGATTTCTAGCAGCTTAATCACATTTAAGGTCAATTTCATCAATCAAAACCATTCAGTGTGTTAGCTGACCTAAGACAAGTGATTCTAATGAATTCAATGATGCTTATAGATAATGTGAGCAGTAGTGCATCCTTTCTAAATTTCAATGCTTGTTCTTTTCATAAAACCATCAAAAATAACTCACAGTAAAAGCAAAACTAAAAAAAACTAAGTAAGTTCTGGAGTTGTCTAAATTACAAGAATTAAATACTCTCAGCTCCTATCAAATCCACTGTAACTTACTTTACAATTTTTCCCCCCCAAATTAGAAGCCATATTAAGTAGCCACCAAGTAAACCACCAGCATTCCAGCAAGAGGCCTTTAAATGTAAAGCACTTATTTCATTGTTCTGCCCAGATTTTGGCATTTAAGAAATAAAATACATACTCGCACAAAGCTTTGATATTAATATGCATATTTGACAACCACTACCTAAGCATTTTCACATTCAACCATTACGTGGAAGTAAAATAAAATGCACTCTTACTGCTGCCACTGAACAGCTCAAACTTTTAAAACTTTTTTTTTTTTTTGATGGTGCCCATAAAAACCCCAGGAAAAAGTGATTCTAAGACTATAATTTGCACTTGGGTGCTTTAAATCACAGTCAAGCAGACAGAATGTTAAGAATGGTATGGTTTTTATTTTCTACAGTGGTTTTATTGACAAGCTTATTTTCTTGTAAAGTTTGAAAAGCTAACACTACCTGTCCACATAGAAGGGGAAACAAAACTTGGTCAAAGTCTGTAGAACTTCCTGTGGAGAGAAAAAGAGATAATTTATACATCTAGTGGGACCAATAAATCTAATATTAACCACATCACACAATTTCACAACTTTGCCCTGAAGAAATAAGAGACAGATGAAGAAATATGGGCTTTATCAATTACATGGAAGGAGTACCAGGCAGTCAATCATGTGAAATAATAAACATGATCAAACTTCATTAAAAATGAAAAATTAATCAAGATTCACACATGGGCAGGCAGCAGGAGCCATCCAGCAATTCTCCAAAGAGTAGGAGGAGGTTGGGTTGTTGAGTGTTAACACCTCTCTAGGGACAATCTCTACCCTGACCATATGGATCATAGTGAATAACACCAAACCACATGGGTTTGGACTGGCAGGACCACTTCTGCTGGCACAGCTTTTGACTGTTACCTAGGAACAGAGGTCTGGGGGATTAGAGAATACTTCCTAACATCAGCAAGATAAATAACAAAAGATAAAGCCAATAGGTCTCATAGCAGGAATGTTTAACGTTGCCTACTGCTATTGGAAAGAAAATCTGTGTGTTAAAAGACTGATTAAAATAATGTGTATTAAAATTAATACAAATTGTTTAGCCCACAAACCATTTTCTAAAAGTTGTAAAACAGCAACACAAAGAAACTTTTAAGTATAGCCTTTGCATAATATCAAATAAAAAGAATGAATATGAAAACTGAAAACATGATCAGCAGAGAAATTAATCATTTTCAATTTTACAACTTTAAACAAATACAGTCATTAAAAAGGCAAAACCAGAAACATGTTAGTCCCAAAACAGTTGTGTTCATAGACAAAAGTAATCCATTTACATTATATTATTCTCTAATATTCAAAATTTGAATTCTATAATCCACTACCCACCATAAATGTCTAACCAGTTTGCAGACCTTTACTACGAGCCAATTCATTGTTCATTCTCCTTCACCTTTAAATATTTCAGGACCTGAAATGTAAACTATATTTCTGCTTTCAGCTGAAACAAGATAGCCCTGACTAAATGACAAACCCTCTGATAAATTCAACACTTTTCTGACCAATAGCAGTAAATTATCAATAACTAAATTGATGCTTCTCGCTTCATTTATTTCTAAAACCAATGCCATCATTCAACAAATAAACTACATCAATCTAATAACCTATTCAATGAAGCAGAAAACATATTGACTCCCTTGCAAGAACATGTTCCTCCTACATAATTCAAATAAGCATATCCCATTCTTAGCAATGGTTTCAGGCTCAACTGCTCATAGACTCTTCTTTGGAGGTTTCTTGACAACTAAAATGTGGCAAGTTCTTAAGATTTCAGGCAGAAACAGATATGGAAACTTTGACTTCTTGACAGTTTATTGATAGATTATTTAACAACCTCCTGTTTTTAAAGAACAAGAAAGGATCTATTGAAGAATGCCATGTAAAGCAAAGAAGTATCCTCCTTTCAATTTCAGCAGGGAACTTGGAAAGGAGCTATATAAGTTTCAGAGTAAACTCTGCAGAAATATGTATTTTGATACAAAATAATGCCTTTATAGTAAAGACCTCATTAATGTGATTGGGTTCACCCTTGTGCAGAATCTCACTGACTTCCCCAAGGATCAACCGTCTGCTGTACAACTCCGATTGCTTGCGCGCAAAAACTACATCTTGACAAATTTTAGCTATTACACAGTTATCCTTTACCCACAACTGAAATCTTAATGCATAAAATTTTTAAAAAAACCCAAACCCAAACCAAACCAAAGCAACAAACCCCCTAGAATTTTAAAAAAATCAAAACTATATTTGCAGGAGAGTAAAGTGCCTATATTATTATCGGCCTTATCAATACAAATTGTCCTCAAAATAATGACTGCACATCTATCTTTTAAAAACAAAGCCATGTAGCTCCTACATAGAATTCTGAAATAAAAGTGTTAAAAGATAAGAAATCATCAGTGACCACAAAATGGCAGAATATATTGTCTCCATTATTTTGATGATTTAAATAATTACTGTAACTGAAAGTAAAAACATTCACATACTAAAACACTTCATCATCTCATCAGCATTGTGTTATTGTAGGATAAGTGTACTACTCAGAACTTATTTTGCACTTGTTTCTTGATATAACTTCCTAAACACAGAAAATGAAATTTTCACTTAAAGAGGCAATACATTGAATCTGTACCACTATATATTGCCTTGTCTTTTAAAGAAAGATTTTACAGTGATATTATTATGTGGCTTTTATAATGTTATTGGACATAATTTGCAAGTCATCATATACATATACTTATCCGCCTTGATTTAGAACTAAAAAATTGAGACTAGTACAGGTTAGCCACAGACATATTTTTAAACTATTAAAAAAATACATAAAAAATCATGTACTGATCTTTTGCATGTAAGAAATACAATTACTGGAGAACTATTCATTTTTTGCTCAAGTTGCAAGCTCATTACTATGAATGTAATGCATCCCCCCCCCACCTTCCCTTTAAATACTGCTCAGTTTGAAAGATTAGCAATGCCTATATAATATACAACTTCCTACCAATTGTACAGGTGAGTGGTTACTTATGGCCCAGAAAAATCGTAATTTCTTTATGATTTCAAACAAAAAACATAACAAAACCAAACCTAGAATCACTCCATGTCAGCATCTTATAATCCTTTTTATGTTTTTACCGGACATGAAACACAGAGGTAGTATCAATAGCCTGTTTTCTTATTTTATTCCCCTACGCCTATTTTCTTAAAGAAAAACCTACATAAATGCCTCTAAAGCAAAACCCCCTAAAAAGAAGAAGAAAAGAAAAAAAAAATCCCCAAACAATCCAGGACACGCAGCTGATAAGCGTAAATTACCCAGTAGCTGAAACCAGTGTCTCTAGGGTATCACATGCCAGTTTTCTGGATCAATCCCCAAGTTTATATTTTCACAAATCTTTTTACATGCAGTTTGATTTTTAACATTTTAATGAGCAAAAAGTGCATCTATAGCAGCCAGTCACCACAGTTAAAGTGCAGGGCATGAACTGTGTCCCTTGAGGGATTCAGCCCAGCCGTGTCACCAGTGGCTTTAGGACATACACCACCTGGTTCCTTGTCCCAAGGTTCCAACTCTTTTCATAATCAAAACACTGCTGACATTATAAACCCCACATGGGTTTTCTAAAATCCTTCCCAATCAATAAAGCCAGTACATAACTTATCGGAGACAACACAGAGCTCATTGATTAAGTTTGGTTTCAGTAGCAAAGTTTTCAAAATAAATGAGGTAGGAATACAGTGTTCAGCCCTTTTGTGTCACATAGCAATTTATGAAGGTAAGGCAGTCTCTAAAAGGATTTCCTACACACACACACACACACACGAGATATTCTTGAAAAGCGTATGGAAAGCAAGGTTGTTAAATACACACAATACACACTTGGCTTATGTCCCGAATTATCTATATATTGAGATGAAATAGTGAAGAAAGCTTAACATTGCTGAAAAATTTTGCATATTCATTTGTGAATTTAATGTGCAAGCTGTATCTTAACTCAAGTCTTTTTTATTTTTATTTTTAAACGTTTTACCGTATGCTCCCACTACCAAGTCAATGGAAGAACTTGAGAGCCTCTTAAATATACAGGATTGCTTTATTTCTCTTGTTCAAATGAACATCGGTAACAAATAATGCCATGCTGCAGCTACAATTAAATAAAACTGCACTGATAAAGTGATATGCAAATTGATGGTCTAATGCAAACAATCTACTCTTAGAAAGATGCACAATACAACAGACATTCAAAGTGGAACAAGAAGTGTAAGTAGAAGTTGGAGAGAAATGAAAATAAAATACAGGCAATCTGTGAAAAATGATGAATGATTAAGGCAAGACACTCAAATATTAATGTGAGTCAGAGAAGGGAAACAATAAACCACAAAAACCAACAGGTTGGGGACCTGTATTTGGAAGCCTATTGGGAAACCTGAGGAAAAACAGGAAGTTGAAAAGACTACCTAGAGTACAGACAAGACCTTTAGCTGTGGATCATGGGGGGAAAAAAAAAAAAACACCAACAAAACAAAACAACAACCCCAAAACCCCACAACCATATTACAGAAAGCACATACATTTTTACAGAAGGACAATTCAAATATTACAAGAGAATGGAGCATTGCAAGTAAGGTGAGTTTTCCATGGAGAGAAGAGATGACTCAGTGATGAAAAAGATGAATGCTGGTTTATTTCCTTGACCTTAAACCAGAGGTGAAGTATAGGTGAGGTTGCTCTAAGTGAAACGCTAAACAGAGAGGGTGGAAATACAAATAGTTTTCATCGTAACCAGCTTGAAATACCATCTGAATCCACAAAACAAACATGAAATCCATCCTCTTCGCATGGAGGGACACCCAGAGAGTTTCAAGAACACATCAACAGACTGATGAAGGAAGGAGGAGAAGCTGGAGAGCAATGAGGGTTAAGAAGAGAACAATGACAGCCAGCCTTATGGGATCAAGGAAGGTAAGAATAGGTAACAGGATCCTGACTTGACCAGCAAGCAACTATAGATTATTTTATTTCTGCTAAGAAACAACTTCAAATTCAAACATTACAAAAATGTTAATATAGCATAAGAGTGCTAAGATATTAACTGAAGCAAAATATTATCCAATTACTTTGAAATTTGGGTTGTACATTTATCTACCCTATAGCCACAAAACTGTAAACTGCTCTTACATTTAAGTAATCTATTTGAATAATTTTAAGCTAACGATTAATTAAATCATCCACTGCAAAGGGACAACAGGTTTAAGAATTTAAAAAGTTGCCAGCGGACCCAAATAACCAACTTAAACCTGACAATAACTCTCTTTAAAACCCAAAAAGTGGTGAAAGAAAAAGTACAGAACAATCTAGAACACCATAAATTCTGTTAGCTTTCCAGAGTTGGTCAGAAATTCATATACTTTTGCCTAGGAAAGGGAACATCTTTCTGCACAACAGTAAGTACCTC